ATTCCAGCTGGCTCTAGCCACGGTGGTGAGCGAAAGCAACTTTGGCGTATACTGACTGAGAGTCTATACAGTGGTCACGAAGGGTGATGGGTGGCGAAAGCGATGGAAATGGAGAACGCATCAGCATTGGGTAACACGGCAAATTTTTAGGCTTTTAAGGATACCGGCAAGACGAAGACGATGGTTTATGAGACCACCACTAAAAAGGACCCTGATGACCCTGCGAAGGGTGACCGCAAAGTTGAGAAAACTTTGTAGCACAGTCCAACTGGATCGCAACAAGGCCCAAGTTTTCCAGCACCCAACTCGAAGCTGAATCGGAAGTAGATGTCGATACTCGAGCCCTACTCACAGTTCAGGAGGCTGTTTCCAACTTGAAAAATACAGAACAGCAGGACCTGATGGTTTGCCACAAGAGGCTTTTAGGCTGAAGGTGTAAAGTTATTGAATCGAAGTAGTATAGGGCAATGAGAATTAACGGGGTTTCATTAAACTGGTCTAGATCGCCAGTGAATCCAGTCTGTAAGAAAGGAGAGAAGTTTTCGTACAGTAACTACAGGGGAATAAGTGTGACCAAATTCATATCTACCATACGAAGATCCATAGTTATCTGACGTCTAACTGGAGCTGGAGAACCACAGAGTCGAGGAAGCTAGGTAGGTTTCAGACCTGGACGAGAGTATATCGATCAGATTTTCATCCTTCAACAGGTTCTGGTACACAGGCATGGTTGTCGAAATCTGACACTTGCTGTGTTTCTTCAACTTTGATCGACATTTGACTTTGTTGACTGATAGATGTGGCATTTCCTGACTGTTAAAGACATATTTAGCAAGTGTATAGTGTTAATCAAAGCTAGTTACTCGAACTCACTCGACCGTGTAAGGACATTAGAAGGGTTGTTATAAGAATCGATAGAAGACTATGGTGTCCACTGTCACTGTCTGTATTTAACTTCGTCATAGATATAACACTGAAGCTTAGTTACTTCTGACTTCACAGGGATTAATCTTCTCCGTGTAGAACACCTAGGTGCCTTGGGTTACATAGACGGCATAATTATGTTAGGTGGCGATGCTGACAAAATGCAGAATCTTCTGGACGCCTTCATCAGAAATCTGTGTATGACAGCATGCGATTTACTAATTTCAAGTGTAGGGTGATGCTACAGAACTGGTTTGCAGCTAATCCTATTGTAATGATAGAGAGCGAAGTGGCGGAATGCGTCGACTAGCGAGTTATCCGAATACCCATTGAAGAACGAATTTACCATGCTGCAGTTCCGTATGTCCTGTTATCGTAGCCGTTGAAAATAGAAGATATGAAACGGTTTCAAGTCTTTGATCGCGAAGTTATTTGTAGCATTGATAGCATAGAGTGCAATCCTCATGTAAGCAATATTCAGGTCAGGCGAAGGGTACTAAGCAATATAGGTAAGTTAGTCGATAATGTTCTGAACTTTTATTGACTGAGCTGACTTTTACATGTGCTGCACATGCCGAGCCACCACCCACCTCGACGTGCAATGTTAGCCGAATCTCGACATGATTTTAAGAATGCTCAAACTGACCAGACCAAAACTTAGCATCATTTGATGAAGTATCTAACTTAGTTAGATCTGTGTACGGAGTGTAGTCTACCTGTCAATCAGTGTTTGGAGGTACGATTGAAAAGCGTTCACAGTAGTGCAAGTTTATTTACTCTTTTACTTCCAACGTTTGAACATCGTCGCTAACCTTCACGTTTTTCACTTCGTCTCCTTCCATTCACTTTTGACTACCTTGATTTCACTCTTTTTCTATCCACTTGTTCTTTGCATGCTGTTGTGAAGTGTTGTATTAGTTTCCCCAATATGGTGAAGACAAAGAAGAATGGTAGAAATGCAGAAGTTGACGACGAAATAATACTTTATCTGCAGTTATGAATCACTTCCCGTAAAGATGTTTGACCAAGAATGTTTATAAAATATTGTTCTACTTAGCTAATTAAATTATACTCCGTTACCTAATGGCTAGCTAGCTACTATTGTAGATATCGATCAATTATTCAGTTATCGTTTAGCTTACGTTTTATTGAAATTTTTGTTGAAAAAGCTCCGTTTTATGACCAATGTCAATGATAAATATCGTTCAATTTGGAGAGTTTTTGTGGAGATTTATTCCTTTATTTCAGGTTGGTATTCATCAAGGATTGACAACAGTAAGAGGAACATGGGGAACCTGGGAGCCCCAGACCCCTTTTTCTTCCTAGTATAGGACTCCCTAACAGTGTGCACCCGTGGCTCCGTTGGGAATCGAGCCCAGGACTCACGTTCCGCAGCCAGTATGTTGCCACTGAGGCACTGGGTCGGAATCCAGTGGTCAATATTTCCTACTTCTGTTAATTCACGACATAGAGCGACCCACATTCAATGCTGTCGTTGAGGAACTATCCTCCTGTTCTACTTGGTTGGCCTCACCGGTCACCACTTCTGTTGGAGCTTCGGAAATCACCTCTCGAAGCGAGTCACCAATCTGGATGATTTTTTGTGGGGAGTTGTTTATGGATTACAGTTTCGTATTCATTATTGGACTGAGATTAGTTGGAGAAGCATTGGAAGCCTAGGAGCACTGGTCAGCTGTTTCGTCTCCGTATGGGACTCCTCAGCAGCGCGCATCCATGACCCTAACCGAAGTCAATCCATAATGAATACCGACCTGAAATCGATAAATTTTTTTTTCACATTTACTAGAATATTATAATGACTAAATTTTGTCATTTGAAGAGGATTCAGTCTGTATCAAATAAGTAAGATGCTGTGTCTCAAAAGAAATTATTACCGAAACCGTTGCATGAGAAGTTCACTAGAAACTCCGTGGACAAAATACACCTGTTGAAGAATGAAACGTGATTATTCTTAATCTGTAGTCTAGTGGATGACACTTCGATGTATGTAGTGAAGAGTTCCAGATCAAAAGTCTTATTGAGAACAACAGCATGTGTGATTCAATGGGGAAACGATTATGATTTGTTCTGCTATCAGTCAGTTAATTAGGTTATATCTTACCAAGCAGTTTATTAAAGATTTTAGACATAATGAACTGTGGATTTTCACGAATAAGTGTATGATATTCCTCTTAAGAAATAAAATTCTGTTTGATTTTGGCCTGAAATGATTGGTTGTTATTGCTTATGGCTTCATACATGGACACCCTTTCCAGTTTTTGTTTAGTAAAACATGAATTTTTTAAAGACTGAAGTTAGTGAGTGCCAACAAGCATTAAACGTGTAACTAACAAGGTTCTCTTACTATTAAATGCTAGAAATAGATTTATCCCAGTAATTAAGTAGACTACTTCTTGCTGGTTATGCTAGGAAATTTTTTTACGCTTAGCTTTCATTGAGATGAGAAAGTATCAGGGGAAGGGTGCAGTTGTGAAGTCAGAATATTAAAGCCTGAAACGTGCTTTCACGTTTAGATTTGTGTATAAAATTATGAAACATTTTATTGATATAAGGCATATTTTGCTATCCCCCGTTTTTACTTCTTTATGGGATTCTGTTTTCCACGCACCCTTTTTTCTTGTACTTATGATCGTCCTCGATTGTTATTGATACTTGGGAGATATGTTCATTAAACATGTTACTCTTTTATACAATAAACAGTCGCTGTGTTTCACGTTTTGTATGCTGTATTTCGATTTCTAACTACATAAGATCATCCGTTTTTGTTAGGCACACATCCACAGATACCTTTTCTTAAGTACTATTGGTTAAACTACTTTAAGGACTTTCGGCAGACTATTTATATTTATAGAGGTGGTGATGGTGGCTGATAATGTGTGCATTGGCAAAATTCAAACTTTCCATCATGAAGTTTGCGAGTGACTCTAAAGGTCACCTTAATAGCTGCTGAGATAACCAATTATGTTCCTCTTTTCTGTGAAAAACTACCTTCCCAGCCGGAGTTCCGCAATCTGATTGGTTACTTTGGCAGTTGCTCGGGTGACCTTTAAAGTCACCCGAAGTCTGCATAGTATAGTCATGAGATAAAGTTTTTCTGAAAAACATAATGTCTTTGCTCATTGCATTTCCTGTACTCTGATTGGGCATTTACTTCGTAAGTCAATTTATTCGGAAATGGAAAATGAAGGTGGTCAGATAAAACATTTATGATAACAGAAGAGGAGTAATCAGAGCATGCAGTTCTTAAACCTTGATGAGTGTAAGTGACAGACAATCTTTTTCATCCTTAACCACAAATCTTATGAAAATACGTTACAAAACTAATGTTCAAAAATCTTTCAAGGTCTTATATAGAAACAGTCAAGGAAGCATACTGATATTTGCGGAAGTGATAGTCAAGTGCAAATTGATAGAAACCAAACTTATGTGTGCATAAACTATTTGTTCTTACACTAAACCTACCATGGTTATCTTCACGAGTGTCAGAATATCTTATTATCTCTTTTATAGTAATTTTTTTTGTAAATCCCCAATTATCATGTTTACTCTATTTGAAGTCCTTCCTATATTGACATGAAATATCTTGAAAAGTAAGTGTATTTACGATCAGATTATTGGGAATGTATTGCGCACGTACATTACACTTTCTAGACAAGTTTCGTCCCCTAATTAATAACACTGTTCAAATTCATACAAAGAACTAGTTATTTCAAAGTTATGAATTTACCGACACAGTATAAGAGTGACTCACTTACTTAGTCTTAAAATAACTACTTCATGTTTTATTCATTCAATTAGTTTTCCATATGTTCAACGAATAAGTAATCTTTTCCTTTTTAAAACTTACTTTATAGATCACACATCTATGAATCTGATCTACTTACTTGCATCTGGTTATGAAGTAAATTCTCCTGAGTTATACAACAAAACTGACATCATTTCATTCCAAAGTAATGTTGTCCAGAAAGATCAATACTTTAAACTACTGTGGGCTATTCAATATACGACGATACGTCTCAGATAAGCTGACATGTGAAGCTTTAAAGGCATTCCAAATGTTAGGTATATCAAAGTTTAGCACACCAGAGGAATGTAAACGAGCTTATCTGAAACTTGCGTGCAGTATACATCCAGATAAACGAAAGGATTCAGTGAGTGGTAGTATTAGTAATAATATTATTGATTTACAGTAGGAGGCAAATGCTGAATTCCAACAATTACACGAAGCCTATACAATTGCCTATGAAGTCTGTGTACATAATCAGAAAGCAAACATTCTTAGTACACTCAATCAGTTGGAAGATGATATCCTAGATTTTCGTCATAAAGCACCACAAGTAAGTTTCACTTATTTTGTTCTACCTTTCCAAAATGAGATATTTTCTTGGCAGTGATGAATCAAAGGGAATATTCAATAAAAAGAAGTGTAGAGAAAAGAGGTCATCTTATTTTTTACAACATTTTTATTTGGTTAGCGAAACATAAAGGTCGTTCCGAGTGCTATCTTTAATAATACCTTACAGCTTACCATCCTTACTTATCATCGAATGCTATTCATCAGTATTTGTCATCATTTAAGGGTTTGGTTACACTTTCCAACTGACAACCTGTCCTTTGAACGCTGGTACAGACTGGTATTACTGCTGTTAAACAAGTAACAGAACATTCTCATTTTTACTATCTGAAATAGCCATGATTTGGCAGGCTGGTATTGATACTGGGTGATGATTGAGGGTGAAATGGTTCTCCCCCTCTCTAATTCAGTTATATTTGGATTGGGATAAGAAGTTCTGACTAGGCAGCCAGTGTAAGTACGATGAAGCAATAGTAAAGCGTCACGAATTCACATGGTAGTCGGGCAAAACTCCCTAGTGATTGAAGTGAAATAAAAATCTTGTCAGCATTCGGACCTCGTAGTTCAATTGGTGGAGCATTGGGCCGGAAACCCGATGGTCTATGGTTCGAGTCCGGCCGCGGTCCATATTTTCATCTCCTTTTCAATCATTACCCAGTATCAATAGAATATTCACCATTATACAATCTATCAATATGAAATTTTAAATCAGTCTAAATATTCTTGATTGGTACAAAGTGATATTAGTAAGAAAGTGTTGGGACATTGAAGGTTTTCCTGTTATGCTTACCTCTAGATGTTTTTTTGCTAGATGACAATGACTTTTAATTCTAGTAAGCGAAACAGTTCAAGTTGCCATACTGCACACTGACAGAAAAGGTGGCTGTGAACCAACATAAGATGACATTAAAACTAGCACGAATAATGGATGAAAAGTTAATGAATATTAACAATTTGCAACATAATCAATAATCAGGCAATATCGAGGCATTCACATAGGAACCTATATGACAACAGCAGTCAATCAGTTCGATGCAGAATAACATAGGAGATTACAAGTATCAATAAATAATTAGTATTAGTTATTACGATTTGTTGATATACTTGTAATTATCCGTTGTTTTATGGAACGAATTGTTCAATCTCTGTTGGTAATATAGGCTCCTATACGAATGCCTCAATATTGCCTAAATATTCATGATCTTATAATTTACTTCGGTGTGGCTAGCAATGGGATCCAGGACGAACAATTTGATCTAGTATTATAACTGAAAATTACAATTATATCAACAAATAATAATAACTGATACTTGTACAAAAGGTGTCTGTCATAAGTCAGTGGCTTAGTGGATAACGCTTTGGCGTTTGAAGAGATGGATACAAGGTTCGAGTCTCAGAACAACATGAGTCACTGGGGTGAAGGTACATCCAGCTGACGAGTCCCAAACAGGACGAAATGCGAGTTCTGGATTCCTCTGCCAGCCACAACCAGGCAAGTTGTCCTAACTAGTATTGCGTTTTAGAATTTTAGAGAAAACAAAAATAATCAAATACATGTAAATTGCTTGGTCAATTGCACTCTGTAAGACGGAAAGTTTCCAAATATTGATTCTTAGCGTTTCAGGAACCGTAACCAATAAAGCTTACACTTCCCTGAGGGGCTCATGTCAACCTAACTAATCGGGTTATTCAAACATAAAACTTAAACATAATGCTCTCTGATTGTTAACTTCGTTAATCTAAACTCTGTTGTATCATATATCAGTTTGTTGGCCCGTTGAAGTGAAATATAAACGATTTTTCTGGAATTTTTTTGTTGCATTTTGTTATATTTATGGAAATGAATTGTTTCCTAGCCTACGAAAAATATACAAGTTTTTCTAAAAGGATTAATATTAGGCCACAGTTGACAGAAAACCTTTGTTATGGTTCTTTGCATCAAAGTATATAGATAAGTGATAATCAATTTCAAAGACGTGGGCGTTATTGTGCGTTTTGATTCTTTCTCTCTCTTTCTTCCTCATGTTTTTAAACTTCTTCGTGAGTATTTCATAGAATGAAAAGAAAGCAAGACTTTTTTCCTTTTATTCAGTGTTTTGACTCCATTAAATATGCGATTCGATTTCGAGTTGAATTGATAAATCAAAGTTTTCTGTTCCAAGGTTGTGTAACATTTTGTAACTACTCAACACACTGCATACTTACCGTTTATGCTGGTTGCATAGTGCAGTTGACATATGATCAAGTATGTAGTGGGTTGGATTCTGCTCTTTAGTTGCTACTATTGTTCTAGACAAAATAAAATATTTGATATGAAACTGATAACTGTGCTTTATATGTATCGTCTGAAATGCGGTCTGTTTACTACCGACAAGAAAGTGTTGAAAGGATTTCTTCCTAAGAATTACTTTATATGGTTTAGTCATTGAAATTGTACTTTGAAATAATTTTTCACAAATCCTGTGACCTGCAGCAAAATCCCGGAAACATTCATGTCTAATGTATTAGTGTGAAAGATTGTAAAAACTTTTCTCGGTACCACATCTCTGTGTTTTTCTAATCTGATTGGACAGTTTCCTAATTTGTTACTACTTATATTAGAACTCATTTATTCAAGAATACTCTAAAATCTTGAGGTAGTTCACAACCGTGCAAGTAGACTGTCAGTTGTATTCCTACCTTATTGTTTGTTCGAAGTTCTAGAGTATAGGAGTAATGAAGGGCGTGAAAACAATTGAATTATCAGTGTCCTCAACGCCTAAATCCTGGACTCATCAGTTGTTGTATAAAACTTTATGAACACAAATGCTAGATGGCATGGATGACAGATGCTAGCAACACTTATGATTACTAATTACCAATAGAATCTCACTATTTGCTGACATAGATAATGGGGATATCAGCGTAACAACTAACATCAAACAATCTAGTTTTTATCGTTGTTTAACTTGGAAGACACTATTTTACAAAGTGTGAATGAATCGAAAGTATAGATAGCCTATGCACGTTTACTGGTACCACAATTTCTTGTGATCATTTTTCGATCTTCTTCTGATAATTATTCTTCCTGTTTATTATCATTTCAATACATATCACCCAACCTTCTTTCTGTAGTATCCTTTATTTCTCCGGAATAAAGATTTTAGACTGTAAACTGCCTATTTGGTTTTGGTAGACTTTCCTACTGGGTATTTAGGCTCCTACAACTTACTGGAATTGGATAAAGGGCTGTATTAGATAAAACAGAGCACCCTTGTATAAACTTACACTGTTTGTCGGCCACTAGTCTATGTTTATCGATTTAACTACACGTGTCTCACCAGGTTAATAGGGATGGAATTGAATCACTACCACTTATTGATTATCATTTGAGCTATCTGAGATAACCGCCGTTAGACAGACTTGTATTGATAATGAGTTATGATTGAAGGTGAAATGAAAATTTAGGCCATCCCAAGATGCGAACCGGTGACCATCACGTTACAAGCCCGGTGCCTGACTAACCGAGCTATGAGACTACCGCTGACTAGCAATTTTTTTTCACTTCAAACACAACCGGAGTTTTGCCTGACTGCCATGTGAATTCGTCATGCGTTACTATCGCTTGGTCGTACTCACACTCGACTGTCCAGTCAAGGCATCTCATCCGAATTCTAATCTACTTGAATTACAGACGAGTAACATCATATTGATTGTCAGTTTAACTATCTGAGACAGACGTCGTTTCCCACACTTGTATCAATACTAGGAGATAATACTTAGTTGAGTAACAGATTAAATATTTCGGGCTTATAGCTGTCGAATATGTCGTTTGATATTCGGACTGGGTAATTATGATTAGTCATCACGAGTTTATATTTTTTCATATCTTTCTCAAATAAAAATTTATTCTTACTCTGCATTGATGTGATGACTAGTCACTGCAACATACATTTCACAGTTGAACTAAAATCATCCCACTTGTGGAGTGACTGTAAAGACTATTCACATTGTAATTTGCACAACTTGAATATTATGAACTAGTTCCAAGATTTGACCGAATAGTATGGCAAATATTGGGCGTTGAGTAAACGGTTGAAATTAGACAAGATATAGTATAATTGTTTTCATCATACCGTTGTTGATTGGACCGAATTGATCGATCTCTGTTGGCATATGGGCTCCCGTGCGGATGCCTCGGTATTGCCTGGGTTTTAATTATGTTAGTGATGGAACGTGGCTAGCAGTGGAATCCGGGATGCGCATTTCGTCCTATTTGGGACTCGTCAGCTGGATGTACCTACTTCCCGGTGAGGGATGTTGTTCCCACCGGGATTTTAACTCGGGAGCGATCGCTTCAAACTCCAGGGCGTTATCCACTATACCACCGAGCCACGATAGCCACTTCTTGTGCGATGCGTTCCACTGCTAGCCACGATCCATCATTAACATTCGATAAGATATAGGTTATATTTGTATAGGCCACAGAGCGTTTGAAATAAAAATAATTTTGCCAGCCAGATGAAAGTGATCTAAACACCAGATGACGGTTTCACTGGTTTCAGACCGACACCGTCGGTGGTGCACATGGACAAATTCAGCTCATAGAGTTGAATTAGTTCACATCATCCGGATGACACTCCCTCTGTCTAATTCAAGTAGATTTGGAGTTAGATGAGATGTCCTGACTGGGCAGTTCAGTGAATGATTAAGCGATAGTAACCAGTAACAAATTCAAATGGTAGTCGGACAAAACTCTAGTTGACTGAAGTGAAATCAAAATGTGGTCAGCAGTCGGGTCTCGTAGCTCAGTTGGTAGAGCACCTTATCGATAACCTGGTGGTGGCTGGTTTGAATCCAGCGGCAGCCAAACATTTCATTTCATCTTCAGTCATCGCCCAGTAATGTTTACTGGTCAAAGCCAAGTGTCATACGTACAGGAAATAAAAATGCCTCCCTGAGTGTTCCGTCATACCCCTGGTTATTCAAATCTAGTATCAACCA